CCTATATATACTAACTACACAAGAGTACTCAGGGAGTATGAGCCACTTAAGAATGATAAGCTACAAAGAATGAAAGAAAGGAATGTTAAAGATAAAGGTACAAAGAATGAAGGGATGGACAAAGGGTAAGAGACTATAGAATGATACAAAGAATGAAGGGGTGGTCAAAGGAATAGAATGATGAAGTAAGGAAGGGTAGTAGTAAGAGTCAGTATGTATATAGTTTATAGACAGTACCTCTGAGGGACAGAAGTCCTGAGTTCTAGTATGGAAGGGTGTAGAACCCTTAGAACTGAAGGTACAAAAGTAGAGAACTGTAACATCACCCCCCCTCTAAAACCAATTGTCCTAATTGGTGAACATAGGGCTTGGTTAGTAGCTTAAGTATAGGTTGGAATGGTAAGGCTTGGAAATCTGTGAGGCTAAGTTTGTACAGAGTACTAGGATGAAGCTGATAGAAGTCTCAGATTGCCTTAGGAGTATAGGTGAGGTTCTTAGCAGGTTCTCAAGTACACTCCTCAACTGGGTACTCTTTCTAGTAAACAAGGAATTTGAGTTTTCTGTGTAGTAGCTTAGTATCTACTATGTACTCTACTTTGTATTCTGGTTTGGAACTGATGAGTTCTAGTAGAGGTAGTAGGGGTCTTTGTTGTAAAGGAAAACCTGGATTGTAGTACTAAGACAGTAGAACCTTGTTAAACACTGAGTGTATGTACTTTCATGTTACTAGAAGTTAGAGTTTGTAGACAGAGGTACTAACCTTCTTTTCAATAATGAAGGGTCTGAAGCACTTGTTGTCCAACTTCTTCATTAGGCAATCTGTAGTCAGGTTAGTAGCTTCTAGTATAACTTTGTCACCAGGCTAGTAATCCTCAGCTGTAAACCTCTTCTGATTATAGTTCTACTTTATAACCTGTACTGTCTTTTCTAAAAGAGCTCATACATCCTCCCTGGTTCTGTGTATCTGTTCTACAAAGTCTGTTACAGATTCAGAACTACTGTTCCAGTTCAGAACTGTCCCTTAGTACAGATGTCTCTTATGATTGAGGAAGAACAGGGACTGTCCTGTTATAGAGTGTTACTAGTTATTGTACACAAATTCTGTCAGAGCTAACTATTCAGACCAGTCTGACTACTAATGATTGATGAACATTTAGAGATAGAGCTCAATCTCCTGATTGACTTACTCAGTTTAACTATCAGTCTACAGGTAATATGTAGTAGAAGGGTTCCCTTGAATTCTGAGAAGTACATACAAGTCCTACATGAATTTTAACTTGAATTACAGTCCATAATTGTGAATGAGCTTCTAAGAGAGTCTATACAACCAGAAGACATGATCCTGATAAATACACACTATACTTTCAGAAGTGAGTTCTGTTCAGGTTAGAATTGTATAGACTTGCTTAGAGAATTGGTTGACAATTACACAGATAGTATTGTAACCCTAAGACTTGGGTAGCTCACTAATCAGGTCCACCAAGACTTCTTCCTAAGAGTGATCTAGGATCTAATACAGATGTAGGAGAGTCTGAACCCTTGTCTGGTAGACCTTAGTCTGTTAGTACATATTGTAACTAGTCATGTACTTTAGGATTTCCCTCTACATTCTAGGCTACTAGTAATTCTGAGTAATGAGTTCCTATGTTTTGTGTCAGCCCAGATGTAACCTCTGAGGTTACACACATGACTTTAGTTAAGTATATAAAGGGCTATTTGTAGACACTTAGAGATTATCTTTGTACTTGCTCCTGTACTTAGGTCAACCTCTCTAATTCTAGGTCTTTACCTGTTCTGTGTTCTTGAGTAAGGCTCCAGCCTTTACACTTTTTTTTGAACATTGTAAAATTTGAGAATTACCTCTCATCTACTGTCTTTCACTTGTGCTATCAGATTGTTAGCCTCCCCCCCCCCCTACGCTTCCCCCCACATGTCTACTATCTCCTACACACTTACAGTACTCTATAGTAATACTCTAGTTAATCACAAACTTTACAAATGCTATACTGAATTCCTGTTCACTCTTAAAGGCTTATAGGGAGAATATTACTACCTACTAGCCTACCTTTAATCTCCTAACAGACTCTTATCAGATTGGTCCTGGGATTCTAGGAGAACATGTTAGGAAGATTGTATACAGTTGTACTAGAGTTGTACACATTGTGCCTCATTGTGAGTCTTGTCAGTTAGCT